ATGTATACGGGAAAAAATATACATATATGCATACATATATATAAATGTATATGCATATATATTTATATACATACATATATATAAGTATGAATGTATATCTATTTTCATATATGTATGTATGTATATGTATATATGTATATATATGTATATGAACTTATGAGTATGTGAGTTTAGGAATTATAAACTTTGATACGGGATATTTCTGAAATGAAAAGGCCGTTTTTATAATTTTTGATAATTGTTTTGCTGATGCCCCCCCCCCATTAAGAGATTGTTGCACTGCTGAATATCACACTGGTTGGGTTGCGTTGCAAATGAAATAGATAGAACATAGTCATGAAATCATGACCATTTATGAATCAGCTAAATATACGCTGAGAATCATTCAAGGCCGAAGGTATCGATCAGCTAAAGATAAACTGATGATCATTCAAAATGGTGCAAACTGTCCCTTCTACCTATGGAAAAATACTCGTTTTCATATATAGTGATTGTGTCAAAAAAAAAAAAAAATCTTCGTCCAACAGATTGCACTGTAAAGAAAGACAATAAAGGAGTTGAGATCAAAACCTTCAGGGACTCTCTCCGTATGACCATCGCAAGGAAAAATGAAGACTACGATGTTGTCATAGAAATTAATGACAAAAAAGAGACTCTGAAGATACCGAAGAACAAGTGGACGGAAACTGAATGTCGAGTTTCAAGCAATGAAGAGGTTGAATGTCGTGAAGAGATGTCCAACACTGCAGAGAAGAATTCTGGCGGACTGTTGAAAAAGTTTACGATTAAGAATGCCGAAGTTCTTGCTAACTGTCCTCAAGGTGAGGCTCTTTGTTTTGATATTCTCAAACAGTATACTTCTCCTTATATGTCCAATCATACATGCACACACACACACATTCATATATATACATATATATGTATGTGTTTTTATGCATGTATATGTATATATATCCCAATGGTGCCGGGGAAAATGAACAAAAAATGGAGAAAATGCTGTGCCCACCATGTTTTTTAACATTAGTAACAGCAAAATAAGATACCGTAAAATATTTCGTAAATCAAAGAAACGGGTAAACGGGCGAGACGGGCGGTACTCGTAACTGACTCATTGGTGATTTAGTACAAGTGTTGCCATCTATGCGTAAAAACAATCAAGCGAGTACTCACGGTGGGCATAGCACGTACGTACACGTCATACCCGGCACCAAGGGGTTAAACATATGTATACATATACATACATACGTACATATTTATCTATATATGTATATACGTATATATGTGTATATATATGTCTATATATGAGGACATTCATATATATATATATACATAAATATTTCAATCGTAGTATTTGCACACACACACACACACACACGAGTGTATATATATACATATGTGTGTGTACATATATATATGTACACACAGACACACATATACATATATGTCTGTACACACACACAAAAACACATGTGATTGCATATATGTTATATTATTCATATATATATATATAAATTAAATATGAATAATACATATATCATATATATGTATTATATATATTATATATACACATATATTATATATATCTATATGAATATATGTGTTTGTTTGTGTTTATGTGTGTGAATATAATCATTCCATTTTTATATATACTTATACCTAAATAGGATATGCATTTTAATGATTCTTAGGATTGCCAAATAAAGAGCTCACCTCAGACACCCCGATCGACTTTCCTCGCTGGAATTCCACCAGGGAACATTTCGCCGTTATTCCAGAAGAGAACCTGACTGTTAGTTTGTTTATATTTGGAGAAAACCTTTTCCTTTGTTGGGATGGAAAACAGACGGCAATCAAGACGAGCAAGGAAGACTGTCAAGCCCTGCCAGCTCACGAGGTGCACAAGATCGCACTGGATTACGAGTCGCAGGAGATCAAGGTACAAGCATGTATTTTTGTCTTTTTTATAGTGTGAATATCCAATGATCTTGGATTTATCTGCGTAGAGTAAGAGGGGATTATCCTAAATTCCCATCTCCAACAGAGTGCTGATGGCCGCATTCTGAGAGGAATGAATAGCACCAATGCAAATAAAGATGCCTTGATGAAGATGAAGTCTGGCGGAGGCAAGGCCTGGGTTGTGCAGAGTCTGGGAGACTGGCCCCACCTCCAGGACCAAGACCAGAGCACGGACAGCCAAACTGAGTGTGAGGACATTTTCCAGTCGTAACGTTTGGCTATATCCCTATTTTATGGAAATCTGCGTGTAATGTTGATTCAAAATATATATTTAATTTCCTTTATCCTACATTATTTAATTTTTCCCCAGGTATATATTCTGACAAGGGAGATATAATTCTAGTTCTTACTCTGCTTGTTCTCGCCACTGCTGTGAATATGGTAATGCTGTAACATGGAATGTAATCTAGAAAGAGGTAAGAACTTACTGACAGAATGAAAGATACTAACAAATAGAAAAAGAAAAGAAAAACAAACCAAAAGAAAAAGGAAAATCGTTTGTTATAAACTTTACAAGTTGGCTCTGCCAAAAAGAGTATAAAAGGTATAGAAAGATATAAAAATCGTTCAAGGTTAATTTTAACATTTCTGTAACAACGAAATGCATATCATTGATACATTATTAAACCAGGAAAAGAGGTATCTCTTTTATCCGTCTCTATCTACCAACCTCTAAAGTCTTTCCCTTTTCAGAAACGTTGACAATTTTTCTGCTCTTCAGGAAACACCAGCAGCATTCGCCAAAGACTCTTGGACAACTCTACCGCTATCCCAGAAGAGGAAATGAGTTGATTTACCCATATTTGATTATTTTTTTTTCCATTGCTGGGTTTGGAACTCAAGGGCCGTCAAGAATAGCGCAGACTATAACAAAATATCAATCTAAGGCTCACATAACCAAATATAGAACAATACATCTCACCACTGCTGGACAAAAGTAGGGCGACTCCCCGTCAGCACTTATTGTTTACGTCTGGCCATAGGGTTAAGCAAGCGTACGTCATCAGTCTCACTGATCTGTGGTTGCAACATCTACTTCAGTGCTAATCCAGGTCTGTACAGGTGTGTATATATGTGTGTAACTGTGTGTGTGTATTTATGTACATATACATATACATATTTACATACATATATACATATATACACGCTTATGTATACATTTATGTATATGTATATATACAAATTTGCATATATATGTATGTATATACATACATATATGAGTGTGTGCGTGTGTGTGTGCATGCATGTGTTTGTATGTGAGTGTGTATGTGTGTATATTTGTGTATGTGTATATATATGCATATATATACATTTATACATACACATACACACACAGACACACACGTGCACACATATGTGTGTGTGTGTGTGTTTGTTTATGTATATATATAGGCAATGACATATAGATATATGTAGATATATACATGCACACACACACGCGTACATGTGTGTGTGTGTTTACATATATATGGTTTATATATATATATATATGTATGTTTATATACATGGGTGTGTGTTTACATATATATGTGTGTTTATATATATATATTATATATGTATTTCTAATATGGATATATATGTATATATATCATATATCTACCTATCTATCTATATTTATGTATATGTATGTGTGTGCGTGTGTGTGTGTGCGTATGTGTGTGTATACATATATGTACGTACATATATATTTATATATACATATGTACAGGCTACATATGTATATGTGTGTGTATATATACACATATATCATCATCATTATTATTAACATTATTATTACTATTACTATTATATATTATTGTCATTATTAATATCAATATTTATACATTTTATATGTACATATATAAGCATATATATACATATGTTCAGGGCCGGATTATGACCTTTTGGGGCCCCTAGGCTAATGAAATTATGGGGTCCCCTCAGAATATTTTTTACTCGTGATATATTTTAGCGACATTTACATAGCTTGAAGTAAACTTATTGCGAATTCTTTAAATAAACTAGCATAACTATATTTTGTTTGTCAATAAAATTATTCTTTAAATACATAACCATAGTGAAAAAAAAAAATAATCAAGCCCCTCAAGCTTGAGGGGCCCTAGGCTGCAGCCTGTACTAGCCTATAGGATAATCCGGGCCTGTATGTTATATCTAGTATATATACATATATATGAACGGTGAAAACACTACCGTGTTGATACTATTTTAATGAATTAATCATTAGGACCCCAGCCTGTCTTACCTGTTTACCCTTTCCCTTGATTTTCGGAGATTTTTATTCTTATTTTTCATTGCTGTAAGTAGTTAATAACTTTGCATTATCTATAATATAGATATTAGTAATTATCTTATCGATTTTAATAGCGTAAGAAAAAGACAGCAGTTTTCTCGAAAATACTGGGAATGGGGAAATTGGCTCATCAAGGAGTCAACTTGTAACCATAAACCTACAGTGATTAAGAGATAACCCCGTACTGAATAGGTTAACATCATGCTTTATTATCCTCATTTTAGTTATTATGAGACCTGCCCGGTTTTGTCTCCGTTTTCTGTTAAGCCGAAAGTTAACAAAACGGCGAGACTAATGGGCCCAGAATTTTATCTTACGAAGTTCCCACCGTAAATAAATTCACACGGTGCCAGTGATACATACACACACACACACACACACACACACACACACACACATATATATATATATATATATATATATATATATATATATATATATACTTTGTTTACTTGTGATTGATTTTGTGTACCATAAAGACTTACCCAGAATTTTATCTCGCGAAGCCCCTCCCCCCCACACACCACATATGTAGTAACACGGTGTCTGGGAAACATGTAGACCTTGATTACTACTGATTGATTCTGTGTACCATGCAGAACGGCCTCTCAATAATGAATAGCCATTCTTAAAGGTCACCCGAGAGGGCGTGTTCAAATGATTTGTTTTCTTCATCAATAAATTGTGGCATATATTTCCAACTCTTCATTATATTCAACCCAAATCAGAAAATCTCACTCGAGAGACTTCCTCACATTAGTGGACGAGCTTTTTGACGGTCAGAAAAACGATAGTTACGTTGCCCGCTGCTCGACACGATGGTGGAAGGTGCATCGAAAAAGAACTCGAGGAATTAGAAACACATTCGTGGCAAACCGAAAGCGGGAGGAAGGGATGAAGGGAAGGAGAGAAAGGCAGAGAAATAGAGAGAGAGAGAGGGGGAAGGAGGGAGAGAAAGGGAGAGAAATAAATATATACATACACATATATATGTGTGTGTATATATACACATATATATATTTGTGTATGTGTGTGTGTTTGTGTGCGTGCGCGTGTACAAACACTATATATATAAATATGTGTGTGTGTACGTGCGTGTGCGTGTATAAATAGTGTATATATATGTATATATATATAAATATGTGTATGTGTGTGTGTGTGTGTGTGTGTGCGTGCGTGCGTGTGTGTTTGTATACTGTATATGTGTGCTTGTGTGTATAAATATATATACATATATACATACACATAAACATATAGATGTATATATATGTATATATATGGTATGGCATTAGAGGTACATACACACACATACACACACGCACTCACATACACACACACATATATATGTGCATGTATGTTTATAAGTATATATAAATGTATATATAATGTGTATATGTATATGTATATATATGTATGTATGTGTGTACATATGCATATATATATATATATATATATATATATATATATATATGTCTATACATACACACACACACACACACACACACACACACACACACACACACATATATATATATATATATATATATATATATATATATATACATATATATATATATATATATATATATATATATATATATATATACATATATATATATATATATATATATACATATACACACACACACACACACACACACACACACACATATATATATATATATATATATATATATATATATATATATATATATATACACATATATGTACATAAATATAGAAACATATGTATATATATACCTATATATATGTATACAGACACCCAGATAGATAGATAAATAGATGGATGGATGCACTCTTTCACTTGACAATATTCTCTCTGTCTGGCTGTCTGTCTGTCGGTCTCTCTCTTTGTCTTTCTCTCTCTCTCTTGTGATCATTGGTAAATGAACTAATGTACTGAAGCAACCAACCAACCATAGAAAGAAAAAAGGAAGAATGAAGCAAACAAACAAACAAACACAGACACACAGAGGGAGCGTTCTCTAAAGACAAAGAGCTTGTCACACCAAACGTTAAATCATTATTGTCACTACCACTGTTATTAATATTTTCATTTATTATCACTACTGTTACTATAATAATTATTGTTATTATTGATAGGATTATTGTTATTGTAACTATTATTATAATTCCCCTTCTCCTTCTTCTTCTTTTTTTTTCTTATTATTATCATTGTAGTTGGTGTGGATGTTGTTGTATTTGTTATCATTTTTTGTTATTCTTATCATTACCATCGTCATCATCATCATAATAATAATCATTATTATTACTATTTTTATTATTTTCTATCAATACCATTATCATTATTATTATTGCTATTATTATTATTATTGTTGTTGTTGTTGTTTTGTTGTTATGATTATCATTATTAGGTATTCTTACTGTTACTGTTATTATCATTATTATTATTATTATTTTCATCATCATCATCAATGATATCATTTTAATTATTATTATTACGATTATTATCGTTACTATTATTATTATTATCATCATTATTATTATTATCATTATCATTATGATTATCATCATGGTCATTATCATTCCTATTAATGTCATTATTACTATTGTTATTATTACTTTTATTATCTTTTATTGTTATTGTTGTTTTATTTTTTTTTATTGCAAATACTGTTATTACTATTATTATATTCATTATTATCGATATTATTATCAATATTACTATTATCATCATTGATATCATTATTATGGTTATCATAATTATCATTATTAATTAATATCATCTTTTTATTTCTATCATTAGTATCATTATTTTCATTTCCATTGTTATTATCATTTTATTACCATTACCATTATCATTATTATTATCATTATTGTTATTATTATTTTGTCATTATTATTGATGTTATTAATATTATCAATATCATTAACTTCACTATTGTTATCTTCATTACATTCATCATTAGTATTATGCACACACTGTAAGGGGTATGTGAACTGACCTCTAAACACTGGTGACAGGACAGTAAAAGCTTGGGTGGCTTACATTGTACTACACTTTATTTTGTAGGAGTTAGCACACGGATTTGATAAACACAAACGACGAGACTTGGGTTAAGCGCGCTGGGTTGCCTGGGGTCACGGGCGGCCCCAGCCCCGGTGGGCATACTGGCAGCGAGGATCAGGCGTGATCTCGCTGCGCCAGAGCACACTCTGATGACCGGGGTCACACGCAGGCCTTAAGTATCCGTGCAGCCCACGACACCGGGACGATGGTTATTTCCTGGGCGGTGTGGCGTGGCTATGCCTACGTGGCTAACGAACTGCTACGTGGCCTATACTTCCTAATACACAGTATACACACATAAACATGCGCTTACACATACACGCACACACACACACACAAAAACACACAGTTTGGAGTAAATAGTATTTGCCAAGGCACAGACTTAACTTTCATTTTTGTTTTTGATTAAGCAGTTAATCAATTTATTAATTTATTGTCTATACATAATAGTTAGCAAGAGACGAAGGTGGTAATGAATACGCAGTGTGTGTATGCTATTCTTCTTTTTTTTTTTTTTCCTCTTTTATCTTTTCTCTTCCGGTGAACGTTAATCTAATCAACAAAAGCATCCTGTTTAGTGTCACGAATACCATCGTTACTGCACGTCCACACCTCTTGTCTTGTGTTTATATACATATAGAAAGAGAAAGAGAGAGAAAGATAGATAGATAGATAGAGAGTGAGAAAGAAAGAGAGAGGGAGGGAAGGAAGTAAGGAAGTAGGGAGGGAGGAAAGGAGAGAAGAGAGAGAGAGAGTAGGATGACAGAGAAGAGAAGAGAGAAGAGAGAGAGAGAAAGAGAGGGTGTAATAGTAATAGCTTGATGGTTTGACTGTTTGGAGTAAATAGTATTTGCCAAGGTACAGACTTTACTTTCATTTTTGTTTTTGATTAAGCAGTTAATCAATTTATTAATTTATTGTCTATATATAATAGTTAGCAAGAGACGAAGGTGGTAATGAATACGCAGTACGTGTTTTTTTTTTTTTCTCTTCCGGTTAACGTTAATATAATCACAAAAGCATCCTGTTTAGTGTCACAAATACCATCGTTACTGCACGTACACACCTCTATACATATAGAAAGAGAAAGAGAAAGATAGATAGATAGAGAGAGGGGGATGTAAGCGTTGGCTTTTACACAGCCCTCAAGCCGAGCAATTCTTATAATTTAGGTAGCGTGTAAGAATTGAATAAATACTCAATGGACAGAAAAAAATACACATTTATTAAATTAAACAAAATGATATAAACAACAAAAAAAAAAAAACGAGCATCAGTAATAAAAATAAAAAAAACAACAACAGCCAGATACTTAAGAATGGTGTGTACAGGTCACGAGCTCTCAGCCAACTACCTGAGAAGCTCAGCAATTACTCTAACGTAAATTTAGCGCGGGAAGGTAGAAGTCCTGGCCGATGGTCTTCTAAGACGAAGGGTTGTTTGCTGGTTTGTAGCTCCTGTAAGATGCGACGCAGGTTAAGACGAAAATAGGTTTGAAAGTCTCGTGGAAAAAGACGTATGGCTGCCTTACTACATCCCTCCCGATCCCGGAAAAGGAGAGGGTGACTTAGGAACCCTCGACTGACTATCGGCTCAAGGCGAAAGCCGACACACTTTCACCAAAATGAGGCTGGAATCTGGTGCGAAATCCTCTGGGCGTCACATTCAGTGGGTCATAGGGTTGCAGGTACTTAGGTCCCGAGGTACATTAACAGCATGCGAGCTTGCATCTTGGCAGTGTACAAGAGAAAGCAGGAACAGATCAGGGCAGAGATAAGGCAGGATTCTAAGCCGTGGGACTCCACAAGGTGGTCGGAGGCTGGAACAGGGCTGCTAGAAGTCATGACATTCAATCCACTGGGATGACAGCAGCAAACAGCATCAGATCCACTTGGTTTCATTGATCAGAACAATTCATCAGGACAGCGGCAGGAACAGACCATGCAGATACCTGTTGGGGAGTTGGCATGAGCTTTCATGTGGACAAAAATAAGAGACCTGTTCTATGCAAGCACTGGAATGTTGATTTATTTTATTAAAGATGCTCTAACATTATGCAAACGATATACCCAATCACCTAAAGAATATTTAACATTACAATGTAATACATTAAACTTAGAGACAAATTACCCTGTAAGTCTTCTCACAAGAGATAACATCATAACACTTAACGGATCATCAGGAGAGTGTTCTGCAAGAACACCATCTGGACTCACTATCTCCAGTTCGTCTTGTGCCTCGTAGGACAGCATATCATTACGATGAAGTCGATAAACACGGTTCTTTACCAAGTCTTTCACCAAATAAGTCACAGGTCCAGTGCGCTTTGTGATCCTTAAGGGACCTGTCCAGCGTGCAGTCAGACCAGTGGCTTTCTGTTAACTGAAGAGTTGATAGCAAACCTAACATGAGGTATCATCGTGTCCCATAGACGAGGATTCTTCTCAGTTAGTGCATATAAAGTATCTTTAACTATTCTGTTAGTCCTTTCACATAACCCATTACTTTCTGGATGATAAGGGGTTGTAAAGTTTATCTTAGTTTCCAGCAGCTTACAAACAGCTCTCTGCAATCTTTTGTGAGATGTCCTTTGGAGCGGTGGAAAGCGCAGTACAGCTCATTATTAGCAGTTGCTAGACTCG